TTAAGTTATCCATCAATGCAGCATTAAGGGAGCAAACCAGCTCTCTCTCACGCTCTCTCTTCAGGAATTCAGGAGCACTCACACACACTGTTGGCTGCCTGTCATTTTATTTACAGGATGCTGGTAGGTAGGGCTAAAGGGGATCGTGACAACTGTAGTTTAAAACTTGCTCAACAACTGTCTCCAAAAAGCCATTGCAGGCTGCCTTACTTTGGACACATAGTGAGGAAAAAGTCAAACGTTGTAGCCAGAAAAATCAACTCTTCTGTATTCCATACAGAAGATGTTTTTCAGCCTGGGCGAGCTGATAAGCATGCGACTGGCATACTGAAAGTGCAGGGTTTCCCCCACTTTTTTTTTTGCCTGCGGTGTGTGTTTCGAAGGGGTTTTAACATTGAGGCAACAGTGCCCTCTTGGAAGAATCAATATGCTGCACATTATTGAGTAAACCAGCACCATCTAGTCAGACTCAATATGAAAATACGACATGCTCACTTTTGTGCGACACCATCAGAGATGCATTCATTTAACAATATATTTCTGACCGTCGAGTATAAGAATTGCACTGCATAATACTGACACATGATTATAATAACTTTTGATTAGATTGTGAAGAGGGTCTTGATGTTGTGCACCATGAGTGTGTATTAAAATTTTAAATTGTCCAAATCCTCTGATTTCTGTTGTCCTTCATGAAAGCAGACAGACTGATTATCTTTTGTGTTCAATCAAGAGAAGACATATGCTTTTACTTTGGAAAACAATAACCAGACCATGAATTCAATCATTTTTTTAAAAAAGGCTGGTGATTACAACCTCAATCCTCCTTGTGTGATATTGTTTTGTCATAAGGTATAAACCAAAATACAATATTATCAGATTATTCAATTAATCAATGGAATACCGGTAATAGATGATATAAGAAGTTATTCTAAAAATATTTAATAGTGACAGCCCTAATTATGGCACTGTTGAAAATTATATACCGAACATTATATGGTAGTCTTTGACGGTATCTCATGCCATCCTTCTTTACAAAGTCACCTACATTGGTGTTCCAAAGGTGTGCTCCAAGGCACTGTTCTGGGACCACTTCATTACATTACTCACTCCCATCTGCAGTATCTTATGCAAATACATAAACCATTTGCACAGCTAAATGGATGATACACAGTTCTACATCCCCAGGAAAGCAACCCCCCCCCCCCCCACTATCCTGGAATGTGTGCGTTGAAAGACACCTTTAATTAAATAGCATTATTATTATGATTATTATTATTATTATTATTATTATCATGAACAATAATAATAAAATAAATGTAAAATAATGATTAAATGTATTTTATAATCAATATATAAAAAGTATTAAAATGTTTAGTTATCATAAATTGTATGGGATCAAATACATGTTTTGAAATATAGCTAAATTATTAATTGTAAATCAAACACAACCAATAGGCATGCCTGTGTTAAAGCGGATGCCCTTCAAGTTTAATTAATGACGATAGTGAACGCTTTTAATGGGCAGTCTGACATTTCCCTTGACGGTGGACAAACGGATAGGAAAGAAATTAGTTAATGCTTGAATGTCATCTGGGATTTCTGTTCAACGTTTTTAACTGGACTATAACATAAGGTTCCCTCTGAGACTGTAATGAAAATGAGTTGCAGTGCAAGGTTTACATTTGACTTGTCGAGCTCAGATGTGCAAATGGAGGCTAATCTTCAGCACCGAACGTCAAATCCTCTTCCTCTGCTCAATCCACTCAGGGAGCTGGTAAGTGATTTTTGCACGTACACATAGCGACCGGAGGCCCTTTGAGAGACTTTGTGAAGACTTGGGATGGAGCCCAGAAGCTTTAGTGTTAGGATGGAACACGACTTCAAGTCAAGAACTTCAAAAGTGGCTACGCAGCCTTGGGCAAAGACTCACTCTGCTTTCAGTTAAGGTCAGCAATGAAGTCCTGTTGGACTCACACATCTTTCATTTGAAGCTCGTCGATTTCTTTGAGGCATAGTTACACTTGACAGCTTCTCAGAGGCATGTAAGGCTGAACAAAATATTACACTGGAAGCTTTATGGCCTTCCCAAACTACCCAACTTTTTTGTCGTTCGCGACAGTCATACTGTCAGACTATCAGATAAATATCATTCGGTGTCTCGGACCCGGCTAGACGTCACATTACAAGTCGGTCACTGTTCAAACCCCACCCAATTTAAAAAATAGTAATCATAATTTGATTTTGTTGTTGCGCTACCACTCAGCGCCAAGAATTTTCATTAGCATTTCTAAGGTCGTCATCTCATTTTTCCTTTTTGCCAAAACCTGTGCCTTTTTCGGTGCTGGCATAAAAAGACCAAAGAAAATGCAACAATCAAGATGTTCAACATAGTTCGGATGCTCACTGAGCTGGGCTCTATGCTTGACTAAATAGATATGGATCTGGACCACAATGCCTTGATTGACGATATTTAAAAGGACCTATTTACGACTTATTTTTTTACACGATTCAAGACAATTAGTAGCGCTGTTCCATTCAAATTGCTCGTCTGAGCTCAGGCTCACTAAGACGTGTTTCAGTGTTCTGCACATAAAAGCAATATGTTGCTAAGAAAGTAGCATACAATGTTTTTTTTTTTTAATTATTGTCACTTCACATAAGTATCACTTAAAATTATGTGGATTCAAAAGATACTTCAGTAAGACCGCCCACCCCACACAGGAAGAAGTCACATCTGACGTCACATCACACAGACAGATAGACACAGACACACACAGACCACCCCCCCTCCCGATGGGTGAGGCAGTAGAGTGGAACATTTTAAGTGCAGCAAGTCATTGAAATTCATGTGAATAGAGCACTCAAGAGTGGGCTGGCCCTTTGGCCAGTTCCGCTCACATGACAATTTAGTTGGATGTCAAAACTATAGTACACTCGGGTATTAATTAGTTGGGGAAAATGGAACCCTTAGGGATTGTATCTTGGATGTATCTTGCAACAATAACTGCTTTGAAATGTAAAAAAAAAAAAACTACAGCATAACCTCAGAGGTCAAACACATTGCATTCTGGGAAATGGGCATATACCTCCGATTGCTTGAGGCTTTTAAACAAACGAAATAATGACAATTGAATTCATGAACTCTCAAACTGTCGCCATCATATAAGCTTAATTGTGCGAACAAGTTTTTAACCATCATAAGTTGTAGAAGAGCAAAAGTTAGAAAATCAATGTATACAAAAAAAATCTGAATTTGCATATGCAGACTTAATTTTTAGGTAGGCATATTGATATGTAAGCGGAAACAAGCATGCACAGGAACATTCCTGCGTGTGCCTCAGAGGTGAGACTCTTCAAACAAGAATTATCTAGTCAAACATTTTTTTTGGAGATAATTAAATTTTTTGACTTCACCGAACTCCCAAATGTTCAACTACATTCACATTAGTTATTGTGTCACTCATGATGCTTGAAAAATCTCCAATTATACTTGTGATACAGTGCTTTTTTGTGGTGTTTCAAGCTCGATCTCATGCGCTATTTTGTGAAATCAGCTGAATCTCCCTGAGGTGTCCCAACAAGACTTGATTCAAGAAAATTTGGGTGTCAATCCAACGTTGACAATATAAGCACTAATTGCCACAGGTGACTTAAATATCCTGCTGAGGTAAAGAGAATGAGCGTTGTGGAAAAAAAAAAAAGGATGATTTTCCCACATAGGGAGTCACAGTTTTACTACATTCAACACACTCCGGCAGCGCACTGACTTCAGTACTTCAATCCCAAAATGACACACGCGCCTTTCCTGTCCATCACTTCCATGAGTTTCAACGAGCTTTCTCTAAAACAGTCAATCAAGTGGCACCCCAGCATGACCTGGCTCCAATCCATCCCTCAAATAGACATCTGAGCTCTACACTACATCACCACCTCCAGTGTCTAACCTCCAGGCGAGTCTCTTCCACATCACAAGCACCTAATTCATAAGCCCCATTTCCTGAGGTGACCCACTTCCTGTCACGGCCTATTCCGTCTCTTCGTGATAAATTATTAATTGCACTTCAAACTGCTCGTCTCCTTCCTTCCCCATGTAGTCACTGCTAATTAAAATAATGGCTACGACCTTGAGCTACCAACTGAGACTGTTGCTCGGGTCTGTAAGTCAATTAGTGTCTTCATCATAACCAGAAAGATGTATCAGGAACTGTCAGTTTTAGAACATTTGAATCATACATTTTTAAAAAATCATTTACCCTCACTGTAAAATCAGGAATGTGACTTCACATTACTTTTAATGAACTAGTAAAACCCATCCATTCATTTTAGACGGTGCTTGTCCTCCTCATTAGGGTCGTGGGTGACCTCAAGCCAAACCAAGCTGACTTTGGGCAAGAGATGGATTCGAACCCTTAACCTTAGAACTTTGAGGCAAACGTGAACCTCTCTACCACACTGGCTGACTTGTGGAACCAAACGTTTTAAATTTAGGGCAGTCTTCCATACCAGCCCCCTCCGTAGGTATAACGACACAATCTCATTAGATCTAATACAACAGCTGGATTTGGAAAAATAAATTACTGTACTTACTGATTCGGTTGCTTTATTTACCTCTCTGAGTGGGCCAACACATTTGAAAGAGCTCTGTTTGATGCAGTGCAAACGACAACCATTATTCATAAACAGTATTAAATTAAACTCTCTATCACCCTCTTAACCAAAACTGAGCATGATCTTAATATGTTGTTGGGCTAATTTGTTTCGGTGGACATTCAGTTTGAGTTATTTTTTGAACAAGTGATCCCTCTGGTGGCTATTTAATGAATTGATCGTGCATTCTCACACGCCATTCAATTTACAGTATTAATGTATTCGTTTATTCCCCGGACAAACATCAATTCCAAAACAATTCTTAGAATAATAATAATGTTTTACTAATTTGCCTTTTTTTAAAAGCTTTTGGTCATTGAACCGGAAATAGAGAACTCGTTGCGTAGCAACCGAATGCCCACACACCGATATCAACATGGCGTGTTAGCTTCGACCTACGCGTTTTACGCACGCATACATCCATACATACAGTACACAATATATTTTATATCTGGGTTCAGTACAATGGCAGGCAGGAAGAAAGAAACTACTTTGCAGGTATGACGAACAAATTATTTCAATTGACAAAAAAAAGTTTGCAGTCACAGTCATGAATCGTTTCTACTTCATTCTTCTGACATTATTTCGCCTTTTTTCCACTTAAGGCTTCCGCCACTAATCAAGAGCAATGGGAGGAGGTTCTTGCAACCAAGGGGTTAACGGGTAAGAACTGTATACGTACTCCCATTTCCCTCAATTTATTTTCAGGGTGAATGACGCGGGTTTAAGGGGAGTCGTGAACGCGCCTGTCTGTTGTATGAGCGGTACTCTGGCGCCCCCTAGTGGTAACTACTGGGAACAGCACCCGTCCTCTGCCTTGTCTCCTCAGTGGTGGATGTGTACCAACACTGGTGTGGCCCCTGTCGAGCTGTGATCAGCCTCCTACGAAAAATCAACAATGAACTCGGTGATGAGCTGTTACATTTCGCCACTGTAAGCATTTTTCGTGATGGACAAGCTTTTATGCTCAATGGTTACATTAGATTACAAAAAAAAAAAAGGACAGATGGGCTAGGCTCATTTGTATACGTGGGGGTAAAAATAGAAAGTATGTTTAAAAAATGTAAAACCCTTTATTTTAAACATATGTACACATCATACATTCAACATATGCTATGTTATAAATGATGATGATAGGGAAAACAGCTTAAGTAACACAATAAATGGATGTGGGTTGGAATAAAGAATGGAGCGGGTCATATGTGGAGCTTGGGCAATACTCCGCACATCCTTGGTGGAATGCTCTAAATTAGAATTTGAAACAAAATTGAAATTTGAATGCCTAAGTAGTGTGTGTCGCATGTTCGTGTTCATACAGGCCGAGGCAGACAGCATTGATGCTCTAGAGAAGTATCGAGGGAAATGTGAGCCCACCTTCCTGTTCTATGGGGTGAGTCAGACTCAGCGTTACTCTAAAGGGTCTTGAAATGTTATTACAGTGCGTGGTGCGTGTGCGTGTGTGTGTGTGTGTGTGTGTGTGTGCGTGTATGTGTTGTGTGCACACCGAGGGAGACAGCACTGATGCTGAGAGAGAGCGAGAGGAGAGAGAGTCTTGTTTGTTGTGTTCGACTGTATTTTTCTCATAAAGTGGCCAGGGGTATTTATTTATACAGTGCAGAGTGTACCAAACATTGGTAAGGCTTTTATTGGAGGGAGGCATTTATTTGTGGTACTTGCACCATTTTTATAATAATATGAACCACCATTTTATTATTATTTGATTCCTTTACATCTAATATATTATTTTTAAGGCTGCAAACATGGGATACAGTCATTCCTCGCCATATGCCGGCTCACTTTTCGCAGTCTCGTTGAATTAAGGATTTTAAATTGTGGATTTTCTACGATATTCCATTATTTTGCGGTGATCATTTGACATGCACATTTTGTACTAGTAACTTGCAAAATCAATTTGAAAAATCTTTTACAGCCCCAGCCCTAATAGGAAGTGTTTATAAATAAGAGTATGGGAGTCGCCCCATGATAAACGAAGGCGACTTGTGTTGAATGTTCCAGGGTGGCCAGCTAGTGGCCGTGCTGCGAGGGGCCAATGCACCTCTCCTTCAGAGGATGATCGTGGACCAATTGGGCAAGGAGAAGTTAGTGCTGGAGCATGGCGGTCAACGTAAAGTGGTAAAGTCAGCTGCAATACGCACAGTCAGTCAGACACGGGTCCAACCAGGATTTTTGGGGATTCAAAATCAATTTTCCCACGCTCTCTACAAATTTTTATGAGAAATGCATTCATAGTTTGTAATGAAATCACTACTCTGTATGAAATATCGAAATGAATATACATGACTGTATATGTCGATAATCGAGTTTTCCTTAAGGACAGCACCTCCCAGGGTTGACCAATGCTAATTATTTAGTGTGCCTTCCAGGTTGTAGATAATGATCTCACAGATGGTGAGAAGATAAAAGAGCAGTGGACCCATCATCATTCAGAGGATGGAGAAAGCAGAATAGGTGCTGTGAAAGTAATACCCTCCAGTTTCTTAATCCTTGCATCGACAACAATGCAGCTCACGTCGTCTTCGGGACTGCAACTGTTAATTGCCATCATTCGATGTTGCTCATCCCTGCAACTGCTCTCACCGCAGTTGCTGCCACTAAGTCCATCACTGTGGCTATCATCAAACCGGATGCTGTTGCTCACGGCAAGGCTAATGAAATCATTATGAAGGTACACGGGGACTCTAACACCCTCCAACCTCACATATTATTTTGCCACGTATCCCGTCAGGAATTCATTTTGCTGTCGTCACATCATCACCTAGATACAAGATGCGGGGTTTGAGATCCTGGCCCAAGACGAACGGATGTTGACCGAGGCCCAAGCGGGAGAATTTTACCAGCACAAAGGCACAGAGGTATGGTAGTTTTACAATAATCCTCAAACGTATCAAATGCATTACCGTAGAAGCAAAGAACAGATAATACTGATCGGTATTGTATTGTGTACTGGGTATTTATTAGGGGTAAGGAATTTATTGGTTTGGGCCTTTATTTCTACAATTGCATTTTTATAACATGAAATAGAGTATAGTCAAATCTCTCATACTCACAGTTCGGCACCTGCGGATGTGCATATTCACTGATTTTGTTTTTTTTTTCTTTTTCAATTTGTCTAATATTTTGGGGGCTAATATTTTTTTCACATTTTCCCCATTTTTCATAGAAAACGTAAATCAAACTATTATCTCAAGTGAATTTAATTGTAGAATGGATTTTATATGGAATGACGTGACATAATACATTGCGGTGTTTATCAGTACAGTATCATCTTATTTAATGTATGGATAGTCATCATGAATAGAGTTAAATACCCAATGTGTACACTCATGTCAGTGGCCACTACAACAAATTCTACCCAGCTCAAAGCAAAAAATGAGATATCAGTTGATTTGAATTCTAAAATAAACATTCACATGGGAGTAAAATCTTAAATCCTTCAATTTGTCTGCACCACATCACACGGCTACAGCCTGTGCATATTTTCAGTAAGGGGCTTAAATCCAGCTGCTGGCTCAGCCGAATAATTTTGCTTTGTGGGCAATTTGTAAGTACTAGATGAAATCTTTTGAGATTTGAGAATGACTAAATATGCCAGAAAGGGTAAAGGCGTCATTTTCTTGAACTATGGGTTTGCACTCAGATACAGCTCAATGAATTCGATTGAGAAAAGTTCGATAAGTCAGTTCAAATAGTTAAACAAAACAGATTTATTTAACACATTAAAAAAATACTTTTCAGAAGAATCATTTCTGAGTTAATTTCTACATTAATCATTTTGATTATGTAATAGTTTAATTTCTTGAGATGGTAAATTGGGCGTTTTCATAAACTATAAGGTAAGACCATATATCGTGTTATATTTTGTTTTGTGTGAATCAAATCGGAACGAGTTTTACTTTGAATTTCCCACAATATTGTAATTTATTAAGATGTGCCGGCGCTAAATCTCAATTTACAATAACTGACTTGCTCCACGTCTGTTCTTCCCTTGTTTTGTGTGTGCGTGTATTTGACCTGTAGGAGTGTTTCAAAGACCTGGTGCAGTTCATGTCGAGCGGGCCCTCACGCATTCTGGTTCTCTCTCAGCTCGAGGACTCATCCGACGTGGTACAAAACTGGCTCCACTTCATTGGCCCCGCAGACATTGAAGAAGCCAAGCGAGAAAAGCCAGAGAGGTGAGATGGTGAAAATGGTGTTGAACTATCCCAACCACTGTGCCACCAGAAATGATCGCATTTCAATAAACTGGTCCAAAAATGATTCACAACAAATAATATCTGTGTTTATCTATTCCAGTGATTTTTAGTGACAGGTACAACAATTACACGCTCTACTAACAAAGTTATAGAAATAGCACAAAAACTGAAAATTTGGATACTTGAAGGGAAATAGACAGGATCATATTTGTGTTTTTTTTTTTTTTTTGGCTTGGTGGTGTGCCATGAGGTTTTTCAAAGCTAAAATACATGCCTTGGCTCAATAAAGGTTAGGAAACACAAGTGTAGAAGATATGATATAGAATGAGAAAGTACATGCACCAGTGTGGTAGAACGGCAGATTTCCACACAGCAAAAGGAGCCGTTTGCTCTATCAGACACACCCACGTGATGCTCCTCCACGGCTTCAGCACCAGCCGAGCCACCATCTGCTCTTCTCTTATTTCCCTGCCCCCCTATCCCGGGTGCTGGCAGCTTGCGGGCGCAATACGGCACCCGCACGCTGTTCAACGCCGTGCATGGCAGCGAGGACAGGGATCAGGCCGACAGGGAGCTTGCCTTCTTCTTCCCCGACTTCAGCACAGCCCCGGGAAAGGCGCAGGATGCTGAGGAAGAGCGTGTGGAGAGGACGCTGGCTCTCATCCGGCCTGACGTTGCCAGGGGAAACCGAGGTGGGGTTCGAGCCGAATACATAAGCACAGGTCTGTGCATGTGCTCGGAACCATACACACCCAAAGGTGGCGGTTATATAAAACGGAATTGCAGCTGTACATCACATTAACAAACAACTGGCAACCGACTGGCTAATGGTTGACCCACACCACCCTGAGCATTTAATAACAGGTTCGATCATTGCCGACACCCACATCACTCACCAGACGTGTCCCCACCTTTTTATGCCACACGCATACTAAATGTTGGATTATATAGTCTAGAACGTGATTTTCAGGGATGTAACAAAAAATTATTTTGATCAGAAAATCGTTTTGGGTTTTTTTGTTCGTTTTTTTTTTTTTTGAAAGATATGAGTGCATCAAATCAAACCGACTTGTTCTACTTTGAATTATATCGAGAAACATCAAATCATCTTTTATTGCAGAAATGTATCTTAAAAGGAAATAGCACTTTCACAGTACTGACAAGTTCATTCAAATGTATGTAAAATGACAACAATAAAATAATTCCATCATACCCTCTTAAACTGAGCCGTACCATACCGAATTGAATCGTAATCCCACTGAGTTGATCAGAATCGTTCCACTTTCAAATCAAACGGTGATTGAATCGTTTCACACTCCACATAGCGAAAACAGCTTTTGTGGAGAGACGTACACCCGTTTTGATTTTATCGTTCTAGAACACAAAATCAATTGAGAACTGTTTACTTGATTGGTCAATGGGATATTCGGTTATTGAATCAATTCTAGAACTATTCAAAAGTGGCAGCTGTAGTACTGGTATACGTTTCCATTAAAAATATATATTGACAACCAATGATAAGACCTCCTTTGTTTGTTAGCTTTAGCTTTTGAATAGCCACGAGCAGAGCAAAAATATACACACGAGGCAAAGACTCTCCGAAATGTGCTAACAACACAGGCTAAACTGAGCTCCTGCTGAACATAATACCGGGACAAGGCGGGGTTCAATGTGCATTAAAATGAACAGAATAACAATATTGAAAACGGTGGATAGTTTTAAATAAAACTGCATCTTTTCCATGTTCAGAACATGAACATCTTGTTTTGTTTTGTTTGTTTTTACAGCACTGATACAAATCTATATTTGATATGTGTGGTCTCTTTAGAGGAGATTCTGACCCATATAAACAAGTCAGGCTTCAAAGTGTCTCTGCAAAGAGAGGTGATGTTGACAGAAGAACAAGCCAGAGTATTTTACCTCCACTGCAGTGAGGAAGACTTCTTCCCTGCACTGCTGCAAAGCATGACGAGGTAACCGGAAAATGAAGGCGAATATTGATAAGATGTTGACTCACCATGTGCATGTCCGTGCAGAGGGCCAGTGCTGGCTTTGGCTCTCACCAGAGAAGATGCTGTTCAACACTGGAAGAACATGCTTGGACCTTTTGATCTTAAAAGAGCCAAGAAAGAGCATCCTGAATGGTGTGATAAATATTTTCCCCCCTTTCACTCACATAAACTCTGCTCTCTTGTCAAATATTAAAAAAAAAACATTGGTCTACCTGGTATAATGGAACCTTCAAGATCTTAATTCAAATTTACAAATTACAGGTCACATAAAAGTTGGAAAATGTATTATCTTGATCTCTTTTTTTTTCTATCACAATTTTTTTGAAAAGGGTTTGGAGACTATATCCACTCTACCTAACATTATAGTTTTTAAATGTCTTTTCTATGCTGTAACGTAATGAAATGACTTGACTGTAACCATGACGCTGCTTTCTGTGTTACTCCTAGTCTTAGGGCCCGTTTTTCCATGGAAGGAGATCCGGTCAACCAGCTGCATGGAAGTCAGTCTATTGAGGAGGCCTCAAGGGAAATCAGCTTCTTCTTTCCCGTGCAGCAAACACTGGCCGTCATCAAACCTGACGCCGTTGACCAACACAAAGGTTAAGCATTATAAAAGAAAACAAAGTCACATTGCTGGTATGCTTAAAGAGGTTAACTATTTCCCACGGTGGCTCCCCTACAGACATGATTTTGGAGGAGATCCATAACAGAGGGTTCTCCATCAGACGAATGGAGGAGAAGCTTCTCTCCAGGGAAATGGCCGAAGGTTTCTACAAGGAGCACAGGGAGCGGCCTTTTTTCAGCCAGCTTGTGGAGTTCATGTGCAGGTTAGTTGATCATGCCCCCCCCCCCCAAGAAACACCCCAAAGGGGGTACTTGGCACTGTCACAAGTTTTTAAGCTCTTATAAGCAGCAGCTAGCCTCGGGCAGATCTCTCTCTCCCCCTGCTTCTCTCTCTCAAAACAGCACATTTAAATTGTGGAATCATTTTCCGCTTCAATGACCGTCTCACAATCCTTCAACGGCTCTAATAGAACTGACGGAGGGATGTGAGTGCAGAGCACTTCAGACTTTGGCGTCAGTGCCCCTCAACATCATTTTAAATTTGTTTAGTGCACGATAAAAGGGACTTATCTTACTACTATTACTTCAAGGAGACATTATGTGCCACCCCCATTATTTTAACATGATGAAAAAAAATCAAAACTATTTAGTTCTTTACATTCTGTTTAAATGTTTTTATAAAGTACATTATTGTGTGTTGTCTTATTTTTAAAAATGCATAACAATTTTGGGGGGTTTGTGAGATTCTGATATGGATTAATGGCATTTCTATTAATTTTACTGGGGAAAGATGATTTGAGTGTTATGAGCGTAATACCAAAATGAAATGAATTAAACTTGTATCTCAAGACACCCATTTGTCTTGTTGAAAATAGCCCCTTTAAGGGGCTGTCCATATACAGTACTGCTCAACCAATGGTGAGCTGTGTAAAACTAAATGCAGTTCTGCTTACCTCTTGGCTTTGACCTGAGAGCAGCAGCATCACTCATGGGAAATGTGGGCATTTTTGCAAAATAGTGACTCCGACTGTTTCAGATAGTGTGGCCTGACCAACACTTGAAAGTGGCTCCGGATCTTTGGTCAGCCAAGCTGATCATGGGTTGACTCAGTCTGTGTTAATTGGAATTTGTCCAAACGTTACCTAAGTGCAGAATGTGTCACTCTGAGACAGATTTGCAGGAATCAATTTCTTGGTTAATACAACTCTTGATGGGTGGTCAGGTAGTGCAGACAGCCAGCTGTTTGTATACTGTACAAAAAAAAAAAAAAAAAAACCTCACAGCTAGCCTAGCTTAGCTGACTGAAGACAGTATAAAATTGAAAGCTGTCCAGTTGACCAGCGTGTCTTCTCATCTGTCAGTGGTCCCAGTGTGATGATGGTCCTGGAAAAGGAAAATGCAGTGGAGGAGTGGAGGGCCGCCATGGGTCCCACAGATCCCGACCGGGCAAAGGCGGAGTTCCCCGACTCTCTGAGAGCCCGCTTGGCCTCCGACGTCCTTCGTAACTCCGTGCACGGCTCTTCGAGCCAGAAGGATGCCCAGGACGAGATCCAGTTCATCTTTGGTATACAAACTGAGCTCACCGACACTTTAGGTATTAACATGACATGTCTGTTGCAGAACTGCTTTCAGATATTTATTAGGTTTTGTTTTTAATTGTTTAAATCTGTAACTATTTCTTATGCAGATAAAAACACAAATGATGCCACTCCAGATAAACAACAGCAACAGTATGAAGGTAAGATTGAATGATTAATAGTATTCATTAGTAATATTGACAATGCCAATATTATTTATAGTCATATCAATGAAAAATGTACATAGTCTTTAAAGTGAATTCTAACGGCTAATTTTATGTATAATCTAATCATTGAAAATAAAATTTACATTTAATTTACTGGCATCAGTCATATGTAAAAATAGTGACCTCACACTTTAAATTGTAAGCAAACACAAAATGTGCTCAGATAGTCACCTACAAACAAAATGTAGAATTAATTCTCTTTATTATTTTAAAATAAGAAAGCCTGGATATAGAACTAGGTCTATATAAAATTGTGTAAGAAAACACTACTCGGTTTTGATTGACACAGTCAGAAGGGTATTCAAGTAACCATGTATTTATTATTCTTTTTGGAGTTTGTATTCAAGCCAGCGCCTGTATGTACAGCATATATTTTGATAACAAAATGACCTCATTGTTTTGTCCTTCACACTTAGGTGATACACAGGAATCAAACCCTTACAGTCCAACCACCGAAGTGAAAGAAGGATCAGAGTTTTGACACTGATCATCACTGGAACCAAACATGAAAATGGCTCTTGAATGAAACGGCTGTCAACATGCTTGCCCGTTTAGAAGCAAATGTGGACAACAATCTGTCAACTTGCAGTATTTTGTCTCTGATCCAGTCTTTACTTAATATACACATTTATTTTTTTTCCTTTCTTCGGGTGACTAAAAAGATTTGTCTGGATGTCTCTATCAGCCATGATGGTTTAACTGAACATACAGTACAAGTTGCATCGTCTTACTGGTGTCCTGCATCCATGGCGTCGTCCTCATTGAAAGACCTCTCAAACATCTCTGCAATGCTCCTCTGATTGGGATCCTGCACAATTACAAATAAAAACGTTATACACTGGATGTAACGTGAGCTCCCCAAACTCTCTAAGGAATGTAAGGAAAAAAAAATAGCCCAAAAGGATATAAAATGCATATAATATATAAAGAAAAAAAAAGCATCAATAAATACCATCTTTGACAATTGATTATGTTCAAAAGGAACTACAAGAAAATAAAAATCCAATTTAGTCCTACCCTTCAGTAAGTAAATAGTTAACTTAAAATATTATGGATACAATACTCGATTATTCATTCATTATTCACTTTTTCAGTTCAATGATCATTTTGATACCTTAGAGTGGAATTGAGCTGTCACTGCATTGGCTGAGAGGTTGGACTCGGACAGGCCGACCTGCTCCAACACTTTCATTTTTCCTTGGATCATTGGCCTGCACGGAGAGGAGAAAAAAAAAAACACGAAAATAAACAACATCAGAATTCGCACACTCTCCATAGTAGTGCTGATGTTTGTCACACATACCACAGGTGGTCATCAGCTGTTCCCTTGGCGACCAAATAGTGAATGTTCACGTTGTTTGTTTGACCGATGCGGTGGACCCTGTCTTCAGCCTGGATAAGAACCTGCCGCGCAAAATGAGAGTGGTGCATTGACTTTTGAGTTTTTCGAGTGATAGGCCATCGCTTCGGTTTTTTTGTGTTATAAACAAAATTTCAGTTACGGGCAAGCTACCAGATGAGTGATGTTTATTTAAAAAAAAAAGCATGTGGGCAGGGCGAACTACAATCGCCGGTTGATAGGTACAAACAAAATCCAAATCATAATAATCACAAGGAGCTGCCATAGGCCACAACTCACACAAGACGCTCACATGCAAACCAACTTTCTCCAGTTCCTGGCATCACTCACTAGGCTATGCCCCTTAAAGGCACATATCCAACACATGAATATTACAGTAGCTATTCAGCCATCAGATTTAGTTAATTTTTTTTTTTTAATTGGAGAAAATCTGATTTTATTTGCCAATTTTTAAAATTTTTCTTTGGGGGTTGGGGGGACATTTTTTAGACATTAACGCATTACAACATTAAGAGAAAGATTCTGACATTCAACCAGCAAATGTGCTGCCTGTTTTCATATCATTATTGTTGTAAGCGTTAAGGGGGCAAAGCATAAGCTATTTTATTTTTTATATCTTTTTGTAATTAATTGGCTGATTAATCAGTTATCAAAATTTTGTTTTGCTAAAATATCAATATTGGAATTGCCACAGAAAATCCATATCAGTCAGGCCCTTGTAATTACACTTCCCAAAACTAGTTTATTTCTGTACATTCTACAGAATTATGTTTTTTATACATTGCAGCGCAGTTTCGCTTTATTAAAAACGGGTAACAATAAAAAAGATGGCAGTATTGGGTGAACTCTAGCGGATTAATTGCATTTCAATGGGGGAATGGAGAGAATTTGTTTGAAATACGATGAGTAAAGTAAGTTACGAGTGCTGTAAATGAATGAAACCCATAAATCAAGGTGCCACTGCATTCAATGACCATTAAAAACATTTGATGCATCATTTTTATCATCAGTCCCTACCCCGGGGTTCCAGAACAGTTCAGCGAAGATGACCAGGTCGGCGGCGTGCAGCGTCAAGCCCATGTTGGCGGCAGTGATGGACAGGACAGCCACACAGGTCTTACCCGAATGTTGAAACTTGTCACACAGATGCTGGCGCTCACCGGACGGCGTGGAGCCATCGATGCGAATGAAGGAAACATCCTGTTGAGAATGAGTATGCAAGAATAACCCACACAACACAGTCACATTTAATGGGACAAGGCTATCAAAATGTCACAACAGGTGAGATTAAGACTACTATGGACATGCCAAAAATAATTTAAAAAAAAAAACATTACAAGATTTTTAAATTGTAATGATAAAGGATCTGAGAAATTCAAGGGAAAAAAAACCAAAATACTTTCATTTACTTAATTCTCATGCTGCAAGACTATATTCTCATAACTCAAACGTTTCACTTGCATTGATGGCTGATGATGCAGGTAGCAGGAGTTCAGTTCACAATTGAAAAAGTGAATGCAAGTCTTAATGATTGTCCATCTGTATACTGTATATGCCTTGCAATGTGACTGGCGACCGGTCAAGAGTGTAGTCTGATACTGAGTCAAAGTCCGCTGGCGTAGGCTTCAGCTGCCTGTTGTGGCATGAACCGGACAATCAATATAGGACATGGACAGATGGATGCTTCTTATCAGCATGGCCCAAATACTCTGTTGTAAGAGGGTTCAAAAGACATTCGGAGAGTGTTTTTACTGTCCGGCACTTAAATATTTAATGTGATGATGGTTCAGACAGCTTTGGAAAATTCCACTTAGAGTCGAAGTTAATGGGATGGTCTTAAGTGCTCTTTCCTGGAGCCAAGACAATCATGCAGAGTTTTCTTTGATCTTATACAAAGATGGTAACAGGGCACGGTGTTATGGCTTTACCCTGGAGTTGTGGGGACGGATGGGAGCTATTACGAGGGCTGAATGGACTGCTCACACCATCACTGCCAATAAGCCCAACCATGCACTCCTCAAATAACTTCTCTGACCTCCTCCTCTTTGACTTTTTTCACTCACCTTTTTAACAAGTTCATTTGTGATGTGATCCAGGACCAACTTGTGATGGGCAAATACCAGGAACTTCTCCCTCCCACACTCCAGCATGTCTGTGATGTACTCCCTGTCAGTGGTGGAAAAATAACATTGAAGTGTTTATTTTCTTTACACTTCATAATATTACAATTAAAATCATTTTTTTACATATAAACACAAAACATTTTAAACAAATTAAAATCCAGATAGGATTTTCATTCCTATAATTATTTTAACTTTGTTCCAATAAAAATATGGTTTTAGTGCCTTAAAATTGTGACTCAAAATTACTTATCTCATTAAATTGCAGGCTTTCTCCTCATATTCCAAAGATGTTATCCTTTTTCTCTGAAAATTAGGTCAGTCTTCCTCATTAATTCCAATTTAATTCTCGCAAACTAATAAATCTATTCATAAAGTTACAAAACATCGCCTTAAAAGCTAAACTAAAAAACATATTTCTCAGAATTTTTTTCCACATATAATCACAACTACAGTTGTGATCCGGTATTTCTACTTTTTCTCCTATTACAATTTTATTCCCATAACATGAAGAGTGCCTTTCACATATCTAGACTTAAGTCTTGCAATATTCTGTCATATTTGTCATTATAACCTTTGCACGACAGATTTAAGCATAATGGTCATTTGAAGGATAATTACGGCCTTAGTTGGAAAGGCTTTTCTTAAATGACAGTTGAGATTCTTGATAGATTTTAACTTGTGTACTGCATCAAAAGAGGGAAGGATCTCCTAACTCTTCCCGTAAAGCCGGAAACAAAATTGCCCAAACGGAGTCGCACCCTGACACCCAAACACTCTGCTTCACTCATTTGTTTTACCTTATTCAGTTCAGCACTTTTATTCAATATAGTGCGTCATTTTACCTCATCACATCCAACCAGGTTTGACATTTTATTTGTAAAGGAAGCGTATACGCACGCAATGGCTTGCAGCTTGGCTTCGGCTGTGTGGTTGTAAAAAATGAGGAGCGCTTCTTTTTCATCCTTTTTCTGAAACGGGACCAAAGAAAGACACTTGTGGTGAAGTGTTGTCAGAAAAATAGCTGATTGCATTTAAAATCACTGATGAAAAAGAATACAGGAGCATGGTGCACTAACTCACATTTTGATGTACCCCTGCTAACACCTTGGCGGCGGCCGACAGAGCCGCTTTGGTACGGTTGTTGACCCCGTCGATGGTCACCGTGACAACCTTACGCTGTTTGGAGGGAAGCTGGGAAAGGACGTCCGACTTAAGGCGCCGCAGCATCAGACATTCGGCCAGCAGCAGCTTTAACTCGCCCAGATGGGAGGAGCCTGAGTAGTCCCAACCCCAGGCCAGCTGGATGAAATTGGAAAAAGCGGAGTTCACGCATTTGAGCATTTTTCCTCCCTTTCTGATAAAAGTCAGCAACAACCCAATTTTCACTCCTTGATGCACCTCAACCTACAGGACAATTGCTCATGATTTGAAACACCCATCTGATGTATCAAAGTTTGTCCAGTGCTCTCTGAGAGTTCATCGCCTCTAATCTTCTCTCTTTTTAGCGATTAAGATGGATCCACACGACCAAACAAAGTGTTTGAAACAACTGACAATTCACTATCGGCAGGTATCAGGGCGTAGTTAGTTACCTGTTTGGCAGCGCAGTAGCGCAGCCCAAATTCATGGAAGCGAGGGAATAGCGTAGGTTTGACAGCCAGGATTTGTGTGTAGAGCTCAGAGGGTCTGGACATAGCAGGGGTCCCCGAAAGGAGAATGGCCCTCTTAGCTGCCTGAGGGTAGAAAGAAGAAGTTGCAAAATGTGAGTGGAGAAATTTCTCCTGTTCACGGAGCTGGAACATTCTTGATTAAAGGGAACCTGAAGAAAATGGAACTACATGGCAACCAGATGGGTGTCCAAAAAAAAAAACAACTGCCCTCGGTATCAACAGTACAACTTTGGCATCAAAACACGAGTTTAACATTCAAAGAGACAGTCATCCCATTCACATAATGTAAAAGACTTTTTTTTTTTAAATCAATTCACGATCCATTTTCCCCATAGATGTGATAATTAAAATACACAGTGTCAATTAAATGGAAATAAGTACAGTACAAGAAATTTGTCACATACCGGGATATACTGTAATTGGTATAATAGAGAGAAAACAGAAATGTTTAGAGATAATTAAAAATAAATTCATTCCTTAACTGCGCATCACCATTTGGTCGAATAAACGCAATTTATTGCAGGGGTGGGCATCATCATCAGTCAGTAAGCTTCCATCAGTATTTCGGGCCAGCCCAGTCTGAGTCATCAATGACAGTCAAACGGCGCTGAGAATGGACTTAGAAGGATTGTTTGCGAAAAACAAATGGATCAAATATCTTGTCCTTGTAGTGTATTCAACTAATTATAAGTCAAATATGATTTGCAAGTCATTGTATTTTGTTTGTATCCGTGTTTAACACAACATCCCAACTTCACTGGAATTGTTTATGTCGCTAAATGTTAATATGTACCGGTAATAAATTAAAAACAATAGTGCAGGTGTACATTATGAAGTGTATCCATCTAACCTGTTCAGTGTAAATGATGGAAAGATAAAAGACAAGCACCTTCAATAATGGCAGAGCAGCTTTACAACGAGCCGTCCTGATGTTCTTTAGAAAGTGAGACTCATCCTGCATAGGAGGAGGAAACAATTTTATTCCAAGAGTATATTTTCAAATCAATACCATAACAACTTCTAAAAATCTGACTGATCATACTCACCATGATGAGGACGTCAAACGGATTCCCTGGCAGTTGTTTGTCCATCCTGCTTAGGAGGTCGTAGCTGATGATGTTGACCAAGCCTGCCCGCAGGTTGTCTTTGGCCTTCACCACCACATTGACGCTGTCGGGACTCAGAGAAGGGAGCCAGCGACGGAAAGCCTGTTGGACAAAAGGTGAACAGTATTTTCTCAAATAGCTGCCGTCACTGGAAAAAAAAGAGGGGAAAAGAAGATACGTAACAATGGCATTAAAAAGTGAACCGCTGAGGCCCTTATGTACCATAATTTTTCATTAGCGGCCGCACGCATTTATTCACTCAATTGCAGCGGTGGGAACCATTTTCACATTAACCACGATATTTTACACTGATTTTACACAATGATCTCAAAACATCACTTTCAATGCATTTAAAGTAAAGCTACGAAAAAAGAACCCGAAGCTAAAGAAAGAACCAAGGGAGACTGGGTGAAACGAATAAGGTGTGGATCATAAACAAGAATGCGCACAAGATTGCGGACTGATCTCTTTGAGGTCTACCAGAACACAACTCACCATTAAAGATGCGAAATTAAGTAAGATTTTTAATACTACATACAGATCTCAATGACAACGTGAGATAAGACTTCAGATTTTAATTCATGACAGATGAGGTTGGGTTGGCACAAAGTATTTCAAAGAAAATTAGCAGTTAATAATTTACTGTGAACACTGGACAATAGTTTTCGTAAGGGGCGCCAGGGGAGTATCTATTTGAGGGCGGTGTTTGTCTTAAACACACCTAGAAAGCAACAAGGTGTCTAAGTACTCACTATTTGAGGATACCTGCAATAATGTTAGGATGAGAGAATTTATTTTTTGGCCAAATCTTACCGACCCCGAGTTGACTTGCGCTACTTCTCCTTGTCCCTCAAGTCACTACATTGTTGTGCCTGTGCTTGGTGGCTGATTTGGCCGTAGGGGTGCAGCTACCAGCTAAGATAAGACCCAAGTCAATCTTTACCTCATCATCTGACTTCACTCCCTGCAGCAATTCCAACTGCTGATTGGGAATGTGCTTGACAGCCTTTTAAGGGGCAGGCTGAGGGGGTCCTTTTAACTGCCTAAAGACTGGCTCATCGAAAAATACTCTGCCAGTGGTTTTGTGTAATTGCTGCTTGGAGATAAGCACAGAAGAGTTTTGGTGAGGAAAAAAACAAATAGGAAGGACCATCAAACATTTTTTTGATTTGACCAATGCTTGCTTTTATGGATGGATGGATGGATGGATGGATGGATGGATGGATGGATGGATGGATGGATGGATGGATGGATGGATGGATGGATGGATGGATGGATGGATGGGGTGGAACAGTGCATAAAATCCAATCCCGGTTCAGTTCCTCATTTTGTGCCCTTGGTTTTCGGTTTGGTTCAGTATGCACTGACTTAAAAATAATACATTTTCATGTCGTTAAAAGTGCATAATCATGGCACTTTGTACAACAGTCATGGTTCTGGGCAAATACATCACCTATACAAGCCTAAGTTATACAACATCGAGTAAATACTCAACTGAGAAGAGATAACTATTTCAATATGCATACTTTTTGTTATTTTTGTTTCGTGATTTACCATGAGGTTTTTCTTACACAAAATACGTGCCTTGGCCACAGGTTGGAAAACACTGATCTGATAATTACTCTCCTAAATAAAAACTCAAGTGACTAAAATAAGTCTGATGTGATGCACATGGACAAAGACGTGCCATAATTCATATGAAAAACAGATGGAGTCATGATTACATGTAGTATTACTCTCTACCTCATGATATTTATGTGTGAATGATCTCAGGTCGATGGAGGAAGAAAATAATATCGTCATCTTCTCAACAGGACACAAAATCGACACACTACTGTTGGAACAACTGTAGTTGTATTAATGTTTGCTCATTTATTAATTTTTTTTTTTACCTCAGCCCAAGTGAAGCGCACAGAAGATGGAGACACCACCAACACAGGCCACTCCTTCCTGTAATAGGCAGCGATGCAGATGGCCTGCAGGGTTTTCCCCAGGCCCATGTCATCAGCCAGGAGCAGGCGGCCTTGTTTGGACACCGCAAAACTGCAAGGACACAGTTGAGATGATTAAACAATCTGGACTAAACTGCAAACTTGAAAGAAAAGTGTGTGACCTTTTTTTCACAAATGAGAGGAAAAATGAAATGATCCTTTCTGCCCTGCAATATTTGTTTTTCTTTTAATAGTAAAAGGTGTAGATCTATTTTACCCCTTTAGGTGAAAAATATTTGAACATGTTGGAGTGCTTTCTTGAAAAATATTTACCTTTAATCATAAGCAATTTAATAATATGAGGTGTAAATCAGCAAATTTGTAAATAGTCAACAAAAAAAAAATCCTCAGCACCATCAAACCAATTTATACCCATTTGTAGTTGGTGTGCATCACTTTTAAAACACGACTTGTTACGCATCTCCATAAATGGAGTGCGATAGGATTTAAGGACTGTACAAATTAAAATGTAACGACTCGACTGAGCTTGGTTAAAATCAAAACCGAAATTGTCTTTTAACATACTTCATCACATACTGTATTTAATTACTTTTATAATACAAGGTAAAAATCTAGCAATTGTATAAATATTTGTAATTCATATGTTCAATTAATTGGAAAAGTAATAATATGGGTAGGGGAAAGAAAATATCTTGTTCACATCGTTAAGACAAGCTCAGTAAGTTTCATCATTTTTCTTTGTAAAACATTTTTTGAAAATATTTAATTATGTAACAAAAAAGTATCATTATAATTCCCATTTATTTAAACTATGACATCATGTGTAAATACTGTATATGTAACAATATGACATTAAAAATCATTCGAAAACACTTTCTGTTCTGACGACTACAAAAGGAGCGTGAAAGGCCATCCACAAGCACCTACTTGACTCCTTCCGTCTGGAAGGGCAAGAGGCTGCTGGTGATCGTGGGGTCAACAGAGGACAGGTCGGCCTCAGGGACATCTAAGCTCCTGGCTCGAGGCCCCTCGAAGCTGGCAGAAAAGGCCTGGACCACCGCCCGGGGAAGAGGCTCCACCTCAACGGCTGCTATCCCACCGAGGAGCTCCACTGAGAATGGAACGCGATGCGATTACACAAGAAGGCGAACGGCAACAGGGGGATATAATCCAATGGGTAAAACCTCACTCAGTCTCTTGTAGTCCTCCAGTAGAAACGTCCACTTCCTTGTTTTCATGTCTGTCATTTAAACGATCAGGGGACAGATTTACACTGCAGGTCCAAGTGTCCAATTCTGAATCTATTTCCATTTACGTTTCAAGCAACTCTTATGCAATATGGCTGCTCACATTTGCGGAACACATCAAACAACCTGCCGACGTAGACGGCCAAATTGCATGTAAATACCAACATTCAAAAAGAAAGTTAATACAAATACACAACATTAAAAGTTATAGAGCATTTAGCTGGCCTGGGCTGAATCAATGAGTACCCTTCACATTACTCCACTGGCTGATATCTGCTTGGATTTGGTTAATTTAGTGATGGGTACACTTCTAAAATGAGCTATTCAGACTATATTTATTGGTCTGTGTTTTTACTGTCGATTGCATTAATTTAGGTTGGGGGTTCTTTTATGTGTTCATCTGTGTTATTTGGACACATGCAGGTCCCAAATAATCCTGTACATAAAAGACAAGATCAAACTGGTACCGTAAGACTTTGTCGGCATTTGCTTGAATGCTGCAATCGCGTCGTCATGGTAACTGATATCAACTTCAAATCTGGAGGGCGACACCAGGACGCACTGGCCCTGGACATTGGCCCCTGGTTTTTGCCAACCGTTGCACAGCTTCAGCAGAGCGGTCAGAGCAGCACCGTCTTGAGCTCGGCTGGTCAACGCCGCCATGTCCAGTGCGTCCGAGCCTTCCAGGGGCCTCAAAGACACCGACGCAATTGATGCCACTTGGGTCACTGCAGCGAGAAACCACACGTTAGAAAGGAGCCGATGCATACGCATGTCACGTTGCGCGCTACTAAAACACACTTAGCTGTTGGTAGTCCTCCATGCTGAAGCTCCACATCTTGTTGACAGGATCTAAAGCAAAGCAAACAGGGGATCCTCGGTTTATGAGAAAGTTCTGTTGCTACGTCGGCGAAATAAGCCAATTTTATATGGAAGTCTGAGAGCACCTCCATTAACTCAGCAGTAGTCATAATTACAATACGGCATTTTATGTGTATTTCAGCAGACTCCATCTTCTTCTTCACCTCTTATTTCGTCTTTCTTAGTTTTGGTCTTCAGTGTCCACAGTGAGACTCCACATTACTGAATTCCTTGTGTGACATGGTATACTTAAGTAACATCTTTTTTATGCAATTCAGTTTGGCTGCCCTTATTTTTAGCTGTGTGTGTTTTCAATGCACTGCATGTTTGCACTGTGGTTGAGGAAAGAAATTTCATTTGTGCTGTACGTTGTACAAAGAGCATATTTGACAATAAAGCTGACTTGACCTGACATGTGTGGAACATGTTAGAAAATCCTGCATTTGGATGGTAAGTTGTCACCACTGTCAAGTTGCTCAAAAAAGAGTAACAATTGAGTGAAACTCATGCCATCTTCAAGAAAAGCTTGTTTTGTGTTTTTAACAATGATTGGTTAAAAAAAAAAAATAATAATAATCGGTATCGGTACTCCATATTGGGAAGCACTGAAATAAAAGTATTTGTACTCTTCTAAAAAAAAAAAAAAAAAAGAGACGTACTGTTGCATCCCTAATCATTTAAATAATACATGAATGAATCCCTTCTTAAGGTGAACATAGTCAATGCCGCTATCTTTGCTCAAGTAGCCTGCACGTACCGGTAATGTATATGTACCATTTATAAAATTACGTGTGCATATTGTGTGACTGTGCAATTTCCTTGGCAGGGTTAATTAAGAATCGATATCATTCTTACCATTGGCCTTAAGACACAAACAAGGGACTGCAAATGTTATATGACAGAAATCTGAAAAGACAAATGACCAAATTCAGCTATGAGAAAGTATTTTAAACAGTAAGTGGGATAAGCTTTGTGGTCTGTGGTTGGTGCCTGCCTAATTATTTTCATTTATAAAAGCTGCACAAGACAGATGTCCATATTGCTGAGTGTAGTCATTATAAATAGGATTTATGTGTCCACAAAGAGTATTTGGGTGTCAGCTCAGAGCCAAGGATTACGTTAGCCAACATATGTCAGCTTTGGCTTGGTGTCGCTAGCAGTTGGCTTGTACATGAAAAAAAAAAAAATATATATATATATATATATACACCCTCAAGCTCATACACACACACACGAATGGTCATAATGTCCAATAGAGCCAGATATACAGGTAGTGCGTTTTTATTTAGGTTGCTGTACTTGCAAGGCCAACACTGATCAATCTATCGTAAGCAACGTTTTTATTGTTTTGAAAAAACACAACCATGGACAAGGTTAACACAACCATCATAAATTGTAAAAATTATTTATATATACTTATATTTTACAAATAGCTATGTATTATCATTTTTGAGGTTATAGCGGCAAATCATCATTAGGTAATACCTGCTTGGGTTGTACTAAATCCAGTCCAACGGGGGTTATATTTGCGACCATTGGAATGTTTAAATATGATCAAATGTCATGGCATGTGGGGTCCCTCAAGAGTCAGTCCTTTGACCCCTTTTTGTTTAATCTGCATATATAACCAATTAATGTTGGTCATTGTGGCTATGCAGATTATATGCAGCTAAATCTATAAATACAGACAACAGGTCATTAAATGTGCTGTGTCACAGTCTAAACATATTAAAAACTGGATGAACCAAACTTTCCTTCAGCTAAACCAAAACAAAACTGAATTGCTTTGGGCAAAAAGGAAAGACATTGCTGTTAGTAAACACAAGAGTCAGTGATTTTCAAGACCAAAGACCAAGTCTGAAACCTTGGTGTGCTGTTTGATTTGGATCTCACTTTCAGCAGTCATGTAAAATCAATCACAAAAACAGCCTTTTACCAAAAAACACATCCAGATTAAGGGTGTTCCGATACTACTTTTTCACTTGCGATATGATACTGATAATGCAGCCAGAGTCCTGTGCGATACCGATATCAAATCCCATACAATATCAGCAAGAATGATACATACTATTTATTTTTTAGTATGAAATGTTAGAAGAGACTTGATCAGGTGATACCTATTAAAAGAAAGAACAAGAGCACCGGTATGAGAAAATATCATCCATTTCTTCCAAAAAATGTGAGTTACATAATTCAAAATCAAAAATGAGAATGAACCGAACTTGAATACTTTAAATACAAAATAAATTGAAGGACCCTGAAAAAGAACCCGAATAGAGTCAATAAACACAAATTATACTTTTTGAAGTGGATAATAACGATTCAAGTTTACTTCAGAATATTCAGAATCAGAGGATCAGAACAAAGAACGAGCATGAGGAGTCTTGAATGGATTGCTTGAATATGAGCGCTACTATCTGAGATTTTTTATGTCGACCGATATAATCCGCCATTAAAAACGTTTTGTAACAATGTGAAGCACATTGGTTTACCTTGTGTATGAAATATATCAATAAAGCTGCCTTGCCTAGCAGTTTTGCTTCAGATGTATGATGGTGACCCGCTTTTTAATTTTATTTCACATACTTTTTGTGAAAGTGAAATTGATAGAATGCTTAAGGTGCAGATACACTCACACCAAAATATATTAATAACACACTCAGGATTGGGATTTGGATTGTGTGGATTTGATTGGCCGCATCCAGTCACTGCTGGCACTGTAAAATCACCTCATTCTGATGATTTTTGTCCCTTTAATACCTTCTAATTCCGTTTCTCTATTTACTCAATTTGGTGGTTGCTCCTGTATATATTGGTACAAATGCATAGTTGTGAATGCCGCTCCTGTCCAATTTGTCTCACAGGATGAATAAAGTATCTTCTCTTTCTTTCTACCTATCTATCTGACTTGACTGAACCATCATAAAGGTACTGTATGTATTTCAACAACGGGTTAATTATAGCATCCTTTTGAGAGCCGTCGCTGATATTTTGGATTCTGGAGCAACATAAAGGGATCATGGAGCAACATAAAGGGATCAAAATAACCAAGTAAAATGCCCTACAATAAAGAAATGTGTCAGTGGTGTACATTCTTATGCTCTCGATTTATGAGCGTACTTACCGTAAATCTTGGATGGGATGGATTTAAAAGCAGCAATGAGCTCTGCGTTGTAGCCCACCTCCACCCTGAAACGTCCGTCAGCGTGCGGCACACATTTGCCCCATGATAAAGCAGGCTTCCTAGCAGGCCCGGCCTTTAATGTTGTAGAGTCTGAGGTGGGTTTGTTTGGTTGTTTGTAGAAGGAGCCCAGTGCTGCACTGCTGGGAGAGGGCTGCTGACAACTGAGCTGAGCAGGCTTCACACTACTAATGTTGCTGCCAGTGGTCATCACGGGCTGGTTGACGTGTTGGCGCTTGGCAGGAGGTGGTGCATCTCTGGTCGATGTCTATGAGAAAAGACAGCATTTGCATTGAATTTGTCTTCAAGGAGCAACCCAGTACTGAAGAGAGAAGGAATATTAGCGCCACATTGAAGAGAAAAATTATATAAAATGGAATCTTGCAATAAAAGCGGATTTTTTATGATGTTTTGTTTTTTACATTAAAAAGTTGCATATTGTTATTTATTTATATTTTTGCGATAAAGTAATGCACTAAATGTATTCCAAGATTAAAGTTATGAGATTAGTCTCATACTGAAGAGGGAAAAAAGTCAATATTTTGAGATAAAATTCCATTTTATGAAAATATAACTGCATACATTCCAGATTAAAGTGATACCGACTATAATCTGCTGTTAAAATAATGTTTCCTTTCATTCTTACGTGATTTTAGTCAAAAGGATAAAATGACTTCATTCTTGTCAAATTACAACTGCTGTGGACCCCCTGGATGAGCATATTTGTGAACTTTTTTCTTTTCCTTTTTAATATTTCTTTAACATGTATATCTGGAGGGATTAAACCACATTTACACCATCCCACTGGCCCCCAAACACCCTGTTTATCATGGAAAACGCATGTTTATCAGCACAAGACTCGTTGTCCTCACTATTGTTGATGAAGAGACTCCATTGGCATTGGCGAACGTTGCGTGCTTGTGGTTACCGGTGAGACGTGCTTCTTGCCCGAAAGGTGGAACAAACCGCTTCGGTGCGGATGTAGTGCTTCGGTCCGTTGGGCCAATCGCGTTCTGTGCAAGCCTCTGGGCTCTCCTCTCCAAAGCCTTCCTTCTGTTCTCTTCAATCATTCGCTGCTGCTCAGCTGTCAGCGGCATCGACATGACTGCCTCCCTACTTCACTTAGCAGCGAGACGGTGGCCACATCTGGACTTTCAAGTGGCAGACAAGCTAATGTTAGCAGCTATCGACGCTAGCCAACGTGTGAAAACATAGCTCAAAATATCTAAAGGTGTTTGCTTGATGTAAGAATGAAAATATGCAGTAAGATCGCAAGAAAGTGCTGTTAGAGGCATATAAAGTAAATAACTTTCCACAATCTGATGCCAACTCGTTGAGCAGATGATGTTTCGCAGTACATATCTGGCGCGAGGGAAGTGACGTATGATAACAAGGTGACACTAGAGAGGGCGTGTCCCAAATGTCGAACTTCCGCATACATGCAGTAGCGCCGAGTCTTTCTTTTTTAACAGAATAAAAACAAAACAAACAGGGGATTCATAAATAAAAACTGCTCGTTTCTATTTACTTAAAACGAGATGTTATTAGACAGAGGTCGTAAAAAAGGTGAAAGGTGCTTTATTGGAGGGACAGCTTTTATTCGTACAGGCTTGTTTTCGATAATTATAGTTACCTCCTGTAAACAAATAAACCCTGTACTAGAGGGTTGCAAGAAACAATTATTTTAATAATAGATTAATCTGTTGATTTTTTGTCAAAAAATCTATTAATAAGATTTACACAAAAAATGTTTAATTCCCACACGTTAACTCAAAAGACTTTTTCAAATTGACAGTACATTAAATGTTCGATTTTTTTTAGTCTGTTGACTACATTATTTCTATCCCGCAAGTAATGTAAATGGGTAGAAAGAAAGATGAATAGACAGGCACAGATAAACACAAATATAGGTGGGAATTTCCTCTTCCACGGCTTGACTGATCCTTGGGGTAAAATAAAATGATAAAATAATGTATATATTTTAGAATATTAAACAAAGTGTTGGAGGGGCTGAACTGGGGCTACACAGATTTCTAATGAGGCTATAGCAACCCCGAGTCTTAGTGTAGCACCATTCTGGGGAGATTTGCTTTATGGTCCATTGCAGCCAGGGATGAAGTTTTTGGCCACAATTCTAAAATGCATATTTGACAAAAACACAACACTGCTCATCATCAAAAGAACATTATACATACCTACAGTGAAGCATGGTGGTGCCCGCATCATGTTTTGAGGCCGTTTTTCTTCATCTTGAACAGGTGCCTTAGTCAATGGGAAAATAATTTTGAACAAGTTTAAATGATAGTCATTAGCACAAAGCACAAACCTTCAGGCTTCAACTTGAAAGCAGAAAAAAAAGGCAGTAAAAGTCCATAGGAACATCTCAACTTTATTTGGGGTTAATCAGAAGCACTTTAAATTTTGACAGGTAACTTCCATTTTACACGAGTGTGAACTTGATGGGTTACTTATTAAAAGAGACATCCTCGTTATAAGAGGGTATGCAAACTTGTACATTTCAGTTCTCTATTTTTTACTTCCCCTTTTGTAACGGTTAAAGAAAAATCCAGGTCATATTAGCTGTGGATTAGTGTTTGGAATGATTTATTCTGGTTTTACAAACAAACCAAAAAAAAACACACAAAAACTTGGCATTTGAACAGGATTGTATAGCCTTTTAATCATCACGAGATAGACTTAGAATATAGCTAGACGATTTGACTAGACTAAAGGTAATTCCTACTATTGTTTTATGTAAAAATAACTAAACAAATGTAGTATTTGCCCAGCACTTAAAAGTACAGTATGAGAAAATTGGGGGCAGTGGGGTTTATTTTATTTCCCTCGGAAAAATAAGGTGACATGCTTAATTTACGTGTGAGAACAGCTGATTTATGTTATTTACAGCATGTATCTATTTTTCTTCCTCCTTTGCTTGTATGAATGTGTTGCGAACATGCATGACGTGCGTGGGGCGTTTGGTCTGGGCTCTGTCCCAGACTGCATCATGCTCGGAGTCGGCAGCAGCAACAGCCAGTGCTCACACCGCACAGCCAGTGCTCACACCGCACCGAGCTCACCGGATGCTTTTTTCGCCCACGGCAGGACGCTCCGACAGCCGCGTTGGATTAACCCCCCCATCATCGTCGGCCGCGTGCACGTAGCTACCCACGGAGGGGGACGCTGACAGCATGCGAGGAGGGTGGGGGGCTGGGTAGCGGGTAGGGGGTGAGAAAAACCGTGCAGAAATCGGCGTAGCTGGCCAGGTAAGACACGTCTGACTGACTCCTTTTGTCTCCCACATAAAGGCGATAATAACAGTGACGTGACTTTAATGAATATTAGTTTGAAGGTAGATTGTAGTTTGTAGCGTGCCAATGGGGCTATGAATGAGAAGACGACGACAGTGGTCACCGATGGGCCACATCCTTATTAGTCAAATGCACAAGCCCATCAATCTAACGTTTGACTTTCCTCCTCCAGCATCTCCATTCACTCCGCCCAATGGCTTCGGACACTTGTTTATATCCATGGGATTTGTCCGCCTTTTGGATTTACTCTGTCTCGGTCGGACGGTAAAAGACGTTTAATCGGAGTACTAGGTCGTAAATATCCCACCAGGTCAGCCCATCCAAGCGCCACATGAGGGGACGCGCATTGCGCCCCTGCGCCGCGGTGCTGCTGTGACTCGGTGGCCGGTTGGGAACACAGGGACCGCAGGGCCGATGCTGCGCGGCCAGGCTATGCTGAAGAGCCGCTGCTGCGTCCTGCTTAGTGACCTGAGGCTGCTCCTGCTCGGGCCGCCGGCGCCTCCGCCGCCGCCTCCGCTCAGCCCCATGAACGGACAAGCCACGCAGAGCCGCGAGCCGGGCGTCGCCGAGCGAGGCACCCCGCCCGCGGCACGGCGCTGCGCGGATGCGGCAGCTCCTCTGATGACTGCTCGAAGGGCAAACTGGAGGAGAGGTTCTCCCTCACCAGCTACACGGAAAGCGGCTTCAGGACGCCCGTGTGCAGGATCTGCTTCCAGGGACCGGAGCACGTGAGTGCAAAGCTTGTCCTTCATTCCTGCTCCACACTTCATTTGATGCACATTGTAATGACAGAGATTCTGCTATACTGCAGTGTTTCCCATGCGTTAGTGAGCCAAGGTACATATACATTAGAAACATCCATTCATTTTCTAATCCGCTTATCGTCACAAGGGTCGCGGGCGTGCTGGAGCCTATCCCAGCTGTCTTCGGGCAGCAGGCCGTGGTACACCCTGAATTGGTTGCCAGCATATCGCAGGGCACACAGAGACGAACAACAAATTTACCCTCACAATCACACCTCGGGACAATAGTCCCATGGACCTGCAGCATGTGTTTTTGGAATGTGGAAGGAAATCGGAGTACCTGGAGAAAACATACGCAGGAACGGGGAGAACGTGCAAACTCCACACAGGAAAGCCGGAATCAAATCCCAGGCCCTTGCACCGTGAGGCCGGCGTGCTAACCAGTCGTCCACCATGCCACCTACATGCGAAACATTTTGCACACACACACACACACACACACACACACACACACGCACACGCACACGCACACAACAAAAATAGAATTTCTGTGGAATTTCAAGAGTTACAAGTTTTATTGGTTCTGTGACAAAGCTTATAACTCAATACAGTCATTCACAAATTTGCCTATTTGCTGTTATTTTATTGTTTTTTTGTTGTTGTTTTTAATGTATGTATCTGAAAAATAACAAATAGCGTTATTGACAACCAGTATTGCTTTGGCACCATCTGGTGGCATCTTTGCTCTCTAAAATAGACATTGAAGTGAGTTGAGGGGTTTCATTTTTGCCACTCTCTTGTGGCATCTTCAGTCGTTATAAATCACTTTTTGTTGGGGTTTTTTTCTGGGCCATTACGACACTGAGTATTAGTTGTTAAGGATGTTTGGAGCTGATAGTTTGCGGTAAAAGTGAAAATATTGGCATCAAAATTTCGATTATGACAATCTCAACACGACTTCATTTAAATGCCTTTAAAACATATTTATTACTAACCAGCTATGAAGCCTTGCAACATGTTAAGGTTTTTTGATCTTCAATGAAAAAAAGACATTTTCATATATTTCTCATAAAGTGCAAGGAGCTTGCAGGCTAAGAAGCGTGCTATATTAAGTTAAATGAAAACTCATATTTATTTTAAGTTTAAAACTGAAAGACACTTTGGAATCCAGCAGAAAACAATCTGAAAGTGACAAAATATGTTTGCTACATTTAGTGATAGATCAGCGTTAAATTGCTAACGTTAATTGTTAAACTTATGCTGGACTACTACATTGTGCTAACTTCTAAATGAGAGGTTTAAAAAAAAAAAAAAAAAAAAAACTCTCCCGCTTAAGACTAACATGTGGAGATGTGTGTCGGTTGGTATAGATGCTATACGAAATGAAAGTTGTCATACGAAATTGAGTACATTTTTTAGGCCTGAGTAATGGTACTTGATTGACCATTCACAACTAAACGGGGCTTGATTTCAGTGCATTAAGTGGACATGCCTGCAGTATTTGAGAGCGGAGAGAAGGGCTTTTTTTCCACAATTTTGAAGGCTCATTCAATAGATTTGAATTTTTATTTTTATTTATTTTTTTCACCATTCAGATTTGGCAGCATTATTGACAACAGTCTTCTCTGCGGTGTGTCAAATTTACAAGACGTTTTTCCTTTACAGGGACTAATGAGCGCATCTTATTTCACTCCCCAATGTACTTCCTCTGAAATCTGAGCCTGTTTAGTGGAAAGGAAAGCTATTATTCTGCGGTATGGATGGAAACAGGCGGAGATACACAGGTTAATTGTACTTTCTGCCGTCGAGTTGATGATTTAACATAAACTGTTCTGTAAAGCGCTTTGTTCCAGCTGCAGTTCTTCTGAAAGATCAATATGAATAAGGGTGTATTGTATTGTACTTGTAGTGAATAATTTTTAATTAAAAAAAAAATTCGGACAAGTTAAATAAAACTGGATAGTTTTCTGCGTCACACCTGATCATCTCTCTCATCTGCTAATGCATCGCAGCAGAGTGACGGGGATGACTGCTATACTGTACATCAAACACGAGTACATGTCTGAATGCTTGCCTAGACTCCCAAGGTCTTGTTGGGAGAGAAACTAATCTCAGAGCAAGGCTGCTATAGCTGCTGCAAAATAAGGGAAAGACTCAGCCTTGTGTTTGCTTTTTAGAGGCTAGAAAGAAAAATCGAGTTGTAACATTATCAAGATATAATTTTACCCCCACCCCCAAAAAAAAAAACCTCAAGATGTAATGAAAGGAAAAAAGTGGTAATTGTACAAGAGTAAAGTTGTCAAATTTCTGAGGATAAATTCTTTCAAACAAGAGTAAATGAACAAGCATGGAAAAGTTGCAAAAGAAGAGTCTTATTATTAATGTAACGTTTTGAGAAAAAGAAATTGGAATTTAGTGGAAATGTAACAAGTATAATTTTACAAAGTCGTTATTTGCTGAGAAAAAGGTGATGGCGCAAAAAAATTAAGATTTAAAAAGGAAACCACAGGACAATATATTGTGGTTGAAACTACTAGAATGAATTTGTATTAACCTTTTTTTCTCATTTTATGAAAATAAAATACACATTTTATGAGATTAAAAAATGTAATATTTTGACAAAAAACATTGGTTGATAAGTCCTAATTTTATCAGATTAAAAAAAACACAATTTTCCAACAATTATGTAAAACAATATTCCACAAAAAGGCACATTTTACAATAAACATGTAGCGTTACAAGAAGAAACGAGAAATATTTTTATAAGAATAAATTCATGAAAATTTGAGGCATTAATTACATCTTAAAAAGGGGGTGAGGGGGTGAAGTTGTACATCCTATGACAAGAACTAACTTTCAAGTCTTACTTTTGCTAGAATGTTCCTCAAATCACAAGAACAGACTCAGAATATTACAAATATTACCGGTATATTAAATCTATATATTTTTTTCTTATATCTGTATCTTATATTTATATTGCATTCTATACTGTGTACAGTTCTTTTTCTGAAACATTGATTTTTGTGCATGCAACACTTTTTTTCTTTTCTTTGTCCCCCCAATTTTTACTGCTGTAGACTGCAAATTTCCCCAGTGTGGGACAAATATGGTTATCTTATCTTATCTTAAAGGAAGGGAAATCGTCAACTTAATTCTCTGTGACTTTTCCACCCTACAATATGACTTGAGTATCACAGACCAAGCAATAACTGATTGCATTTCGCAAATGCGGATGCATGGGGAAACGGATTAAGGGTTGGAATTGGATTTGGGCATTAGAATCTAGTATTGGCTCTAGCAGAACTGTACTGTCATCTTGTATTTGGCATCATATCTGTTTAAATGAAGCACACACGCAAAAACAAAAAAACAAAAACAACCCAAAGAAAATAAACAATACACCTTTCTGGACAAGGCTTGAAGACATCTTGATCGTAATGTCACACTACATCAGGCCCGTCAGGCATATTCCCAGACCCCATTTGCTCGACTGAAAGGAGCAGGCCCATAACGAATGTAATTAAATGAGAATCAGGACCAGCAAATTTAAGATCACCTCACTAAGTGGCAATTAGTGTTTGAACCGGTGAGTTGACCAGTCAACTTTATTACTTCGTATCGACATTTAACGCTTGAAATTGCTTCAATGCCAATCACGTTTTTGGCATCTCTTCTTTCATTGATCATTTTAAAGGACTTTCAACTGCTGCTGTCACCAGAATATAACGCTCATTAGAGTAGCGAAATGTCCAACCATCAAGGCCACACAGTCTTCACATGTCTGCACATGTCAGAACCCCCCGCACGACCCATCGCAAAAAAAAAAAAAAAATGCTAGTTGTGGTAGAGTGTAGCGGTTAGCCTCACTAACTTCAGATATTCTGATCGTTATTGTTCTTAAAAGAGTTATACCAGTGGTATCTCAGGACTTTCAGTGAGGAACAGCGGCACAAAGGGAAACTGTGTCTTGGTCACCAAAATGTTATGGTCAATACTGACAACTGTGTGCTAACGAGAATCAACTCACATCGCAACCGTTGTGTAGCTTTATGACACTGAAAGCGACGCTTGTCTTGCTTGATTGACACCGACGCCTGTATACTAATTGGTTGTCTGGATGTGTGTGGAAATATTCTACCCTCAACGGGAGCCGTAGCAAGTCTATTTGGCAGTAAAATAGAAATTACATCATCAAATATCTGACCAGAAAAATCTTTTGGTCTCCAACCCTTAGCGGTAATGAGTTTATACAATATGAAAGAAAGCAATTAATGTGTGACTTTGTCTTGATGTAAAGCGCGAGACTTACTGTATCGTTTCATGGTCATTGCCTTTTTGTAGGCCTACAATGTAAGCAAATTACTCGTTTTGCATCTCAGTCCATCTTTTCACCTTTAAGCTCCGGCTTTTTCATTATTACTAAAACAGGGTCCACAGGCTGCTTCGCACCCCCCGCACCCCCGCCCCCACTGCTCTTTCTTTCCCACACCATCTCTCCACACAGTCAGCACATTTTGCGGCACATACAAAGCAGCAAAGAACCCAACGCCTTTCCCATGGCCTCCTCCCGCCACGTTATCGACGTCTCCTTGATACGTCAACGCTTGTCAATAAAGCTTGATTGAACGCCATCTTATCTCTTCACGCTGGTCCTCGTCCCTCGCCAGCCTGCCTCGTGTTTGGGATGTTGTCTCTCCGCCAAACCCAGATATGGATCTGCCGAGGTGTGAACTGTGCACGTTTCTGAAAGGGGAGATAAGTGGAAGGTCTGCATGCCTCTGAGTCATAGAACCGGCGGGGACGTGAGGCGTTCCTCTTTTCTGCCTTTGCTTTTAAGATTGTCACAATGACCGAGGTGGCTTGTATCTGATGTGACAATCCTTCTCCAAACAACACTTTCATCCCCAAGGCTGCGAGACAACAAAAAAAAAATGGTGTGATAGATACATCAGTGCTGTGCAGAATTCTTTAGGTTGGTGATTCGA